TTTAAGATGCAAGTTCTGAGATATGATGTTTGGCTCCCCATGCCATTCATGTATGTCTTGTGTTTCCTTTAGATGTGCACCTATCATACCCACCTGGATCTCTCCACATTCCGCCTCTTGCTTGTTCAGTTTTCTGCATCTGCAGCTTGGTCTGTGATGGTAGGAACAGAGATACTTGGTTCACAGCGGACACCAGCGTCTAGCAGTATACCTGAATGATGTATAGACTGAGATGTGTTTTCAGTTGACTTGTTGGAGGTTGGTGGGAGAAAATTTGTTTCTTTCCTATTGATACAGTACATGCACTCTGGGAATGGTGAAAAGACAGTCACAGAATTAAATCCTGTTCACTCAACAAAGAGCATGCATATCGAATCTCCATTAAATAAGTTTCTCTATGATCCCTACTAAAGAAGGATATTGCCAATGCTAAGAACACAGTGAGCATAGTTCATTATTTGGTAATGAGAACAATAACTAGGTACATAGAAAAAGAAATATATCTGCAGAAAGCACTATGCAAATGCTATTCTGTACTGGGTACTCTGCCAATCATCTAAAAATTCACACATTTACATAGCACAAGGTCCCTTAGAGATGGGACTACTCCTTGTTCACATATGATATACTAGAAAAAAATCTTCCCCATCACAGATGTCTTAAATCTCCCCAGGGGGAAGATGGTGAGATTAGAGCTGCACCTACTCTGACCTAGCACAGCCTGCCCAGGCTAGCTGCTCTTCATGAGCTCCACTGGTGCAAAGCATTATTGACACCTGTCTAGATCCATGCCTCATCCCCACGGGCAGGCTCTCCCACCTCTCCCTCCTTGTCTCACACACACATCATGAGTCACTACTCTCCAGCAAATTTATCAAATGCATTTCCTGTACATTTCCCCATTTCTCCCCCTCATTTCAATTTGTAATACCAGAAGCACATAGTCAAAGTAGAGAGTTAAGTGATATTTTAAAGTAGGATGATAATAAGTCAATAAGTCATTATGTTGGGATATTCATAAGAGAATGTCCTTGTTCTAGTACATACTCCTACTTCTGACTCTATTTCCACAATCTGAAAACCTGTGATATATTTTTAAAATTATTTATTTGTTTTAATTAGTTATACATGACAGTAGAATGCACTTATGCACTTTGATGTATCATACATAGATGGGATATAATTTCTCATTTTATGAGTGTACATGTTGCCGAGTCGTACTGGTCATGCAGTCACATATATACATACAGTAATGATGTGTGTTTCATTCGACTATCCCTCCTATCCCCACATCCCCCCCATCACTTTCCCCTACCTAACCTGAGGTAATGCTATTCTTCCTAGTGCCCCCTGCCTTATTGTGAATTAGCATCTGCATATCTGAGAAAATATTTGGCCTTTGGTTTTGTGGGATTGGCTTATTTTGCTTAGTATGATATTCTATAACTCCAACCATTTACTGGCAAATGCCATAATTTTATTCTCTTTTAATGCTGAGTAATATTCCATTGTGTATAGTTTCTTTATTCATTAATCTGTTGAAGGTCATCTAGTTTGGTTCCACAGTTTAGCTATTGTGAATTGAGCTGCTATGAACATTGATGTGGCTGCGTCACTATACTATGCTGATTTTAAGTCCTTTGGGTATAGACAGAGGAGAGGGGTAGCTGGGTCAAATGGTGGTTCCATTCCAAGTTTTCTAAGGAATCTCCATACTGCTTTCAATGTATGAGTGTACCTTTTTCTCCACATCCTCGCCAATACTTATCATTGCTTGTATTCTTGATAACTGCCATTCCGACTAGAGTGAGATGAAATCGTAGAGCAGTTTTGATTTGTGTTTCTCTAATTATCACAATACCAGACCTTAAACTGTACTACAGAGCTATAGTAACAAGAATGGCATGAAAATAGACTTGCAGACCAGTGGTACAGAATAGAAGACACAGACACAAACCCACACAATACTCTTGAATTAACTTCCAAATTTCAGAACCCATGTCCCCTTCTCTATGAGTCACTGCCATTTTCCATAATACTATTAGCTTCTTTGTCTCTACAAAGTGGCCTGAAGCTTGATTCTATATGGTACCACTTAGCCAATTGCCAGAAATATTCCTTGAATGGACAAAAGACAGAATGAGGAAAGGAGGATAATCAAGGGAAGGAGGGAAGGGAAGAAAGGAGAAAGGGGCTTTATGTCTGAGAGATCAAGAAAGATTCCGTTGACACTACAGATAATGGAAGGGTGTTCCCTATTCCAGGTTTCTTTGTTAACAAATAAGGCATGTAACTTGACATTTGAAAATTGTGTTCTGAAGAGAAGTGAGAGATCTGTTTGCATTTCCAATGCGATCTGTGATGCTATTCAGTAAAATGCTGCAGTGACTTCACAGACCGCTGTGTTGCTGTGCAGCCACTGACCAGCTGACCAGTGTGTGGGCCACGTCTGATTGCCCTGCTAGATCTGTTTCCCTCTCTCTCCTGCAACCCTTCCTCAGAATTGGTCACCAGAGGTGGTGGTTCTCATTCCAACCATTTATTGTACTTAATACAGTCTCCAGGTTGGTCCATGTCACGAATGACAACATTTTGTTTCTTTTTGTGGCTGAATTGTCTCCCATTATGTATATATTCCATCATGTGTATCTACCAAATTTTCTTTATCGATTAATTGGTTGATGAACACTTAGTTTGTTTCTATGTCTTGGCTCTTATAAATACTGCTATAGCACACATGGGGGTGCAGATATATCTTTGACTGACTGATTTCATTTACTTTAGATATATATCCAGTAGTGGGAAAGCTGGACCATACGTTGTCTTATTTTTAATTTTTTGAGGAATCACATATCATTTCCCATAATGTCTGTTCTAGTTTGCATTCCTACCAACAGCATGTAAGGGTTCCTTTATTTCTACATCCTCATAATTAGACTTTTGAATTTTTGATGGTTACAGATTCATATATATTTGTAAGAAATAATACAAAGAGAAGTGTGCAGCCTTTACCCAGTTTCCTCCAATGTTATCATCTTACAAAATTGTCTTATAATAGTACAACTAAGATATTGAAACAGAGAAAGTCAGAACAGAGAGAATTTCCATTTTAAGAATATGTGATGTTGCCCTTTTATAGCCATCTCCTGCATTTCCTGAGGACCCTCTTACCCATCTCTAACTTGATTTCCATTTCTGTATTTTTGACATGTCAAAATGTTATGTACATTGTAATAATTATTCCCCTAGTTGAATGAAGATGAATATCTTTCAAAGTTTAGGAGATATTCTATTTTATTTTCTGTACATTTTGTCTTTTCACATTTTATATCCAGTTAATTTTCATAAACTTGATACAATTCTTTGTATAGTAAGGTACTTGGTCTCATGTACAAAATACTATTTTATTTACTGTGCACAAATTGTATAATTGTGATTACATTTATCATTTTATGATATCTTGGCTTGGGATTATACTTAGGAAAACTTGTACTATTTGGTGATTTTAAAAATGTATCCGCATTTTTCTTCTAACATTTTCCAGTATTATATACTTTTTTTTTTATTTTTTTACTTTGATTTTCTGATTCATCATTATCAAGATGACAATTCATAAAAGATGTGAAGAAAAATTCAATTTCTACTTGTCTACCTAATTTTCCTAAGTAATTGAAATAAGATTTCAAACTGATACCATTCTTTGTGATTTTTATATTTAATTATGATGACAGTGTTTTTCAGAAAGTCAAAGAAATATCATTGGGTTTTCCTACAGTATTATAATATTAGGAGGAAGTACAGATTTTTTTCTTTAAAGCTTTAAGAAAGCTGTATTCCATGATGCAATACTGTTAATGTCATGCCGCGAATTTTCACAAAAAAGTAGAAACCCTTATTAATGATCTGTGGCCAATTACTCTATTCTATAAATGTATGTTGTGCCTGGTGTTGATCTTGGCAACACTGGTCAAGCAGCTGTGCCATCATAGATTCATCTGCTTCTTTACCATGTTCTCCAGGTCACTGACTCAGATTCCCTGGTTTCTGGAGGGATGGCTGGTGACAGTAGGATTGCAGCTGCTTCTCTCTCAGAAACACAGTTAATAGCATACAGCCTCATAACTTCCAAGACTTCTGTTGACATTGTAGCTGAAGAGCTCTTTTGCTTTTATTTTTATTATATTTTACTCTTCACTTATGGGTATGTGATTTTCTTCTTTGGAAAAGATACATTAAAACATTTCCTGAATAAGGAGGGAATTGAAACATTTACTTAACAGAATAAAGAGCTGCATTTTATTTTAGCCATTTTAGACACAAAGGAATACATCTTCCATTTACAGTTATATGCTAATCATAGTATTCATTGCAAGCTGGACACAGTGGTGCTCACTTGTAATCCCAGTGACTTGGGAGGCTGAGATAGGAGGATCACAAGTTCAAGGCCAGCCTGGGCAACTTAGCAAGATCTTGTCTCAAAACTAAAGTTCCACATGAATGATTTAAATTACATGCCCACTACAACCCAATGAGAGTTCTGATCACTCCACCTATTGCCAATGCTGAATGCCTTTGTTTTTCTAAATCTTTGTTAATTTGGTAGATCAGAATAGTAGCAAATGATTTTAATTTGTGTATTTTTGAAGTTTCAAGAGAATGATTAGACTAAATGGCCTACATATGCTTATGTCTTTTTCTAAACTTTCCACTCTGTTCCAAGAATCTTATGTACATTCTTACAGAATAAATATGCTCTTATAACTATCAGTTTAAAAAAAAGTGGGTCAGGGTTGTGGCTTAATGGTAGAGCACCTCTGTGTTCATCCCCAGTGCAGACCCCAACAAGAGACATTAATTGCAGCAAGATAGAGTTTGAGATGGAGGAGGTAACCCATCTGACTTTTTCCTGGAATATTTTCTCCTTGGTCGGAAGAACTTGTCTTTCTTCCGACTTCATCAGAGTAGATTACAAATAATGGATCCCTGCTTTCTCTTAAAAGGAACTGTTGGAACTTCGACATGCTTATCAAAAACTAAGACAGTACCAGGTGAAGGTGGCAGAACTGAATCCTGCAAACAGCCCAGTGGATCAGAATGAGGCAGAAGCAAAGAAACTCAGATTTCAAGTGGAAGAACTGAAACTGGGACTGAACTAAAAAGAAGATGAGATACTTTATAAATAAGCATGTAAGCATGTGCTGGATGGCTTCAAACATCACTTTATAGTGTGTATGAGGCATTTTGTTCTTTATTAGTGCATCATTAATCAGGGTAAAAACCTTCATATTTTAACAACTAAAGTCAATTTTAAAAATTATATGGAAAGAGAAGAAAGATTACAACATGCACATTTGAGTGATAATAGTATGTTTATAGCTTTAACGTTTCAGCATAGTCTGGTGTGTGTGTGTGTGTGTGTGTGTGTGTGTGTTTAAATATGGACACAGTATAACTAAAACCTGGAGTTTTAAATTTAAGATTTAAGCATATGTCAGAGAAATACAATACTTGTTGTGACTATACATTATATATATTAGCACTGCTCTCAGGTTTTTTGAATGAGGCTCATTTTGCTGGGTGAGGTCAACTTGTTAATGGCTATGAAATATCTCAGATGGTTCCGGAAGGCAGTCATCTTAGTGTGATGTCTAACAGCACGACTGTGACTTTGGTGCAATTTCAGCTTCACTTATGAGTACAAAGAGTTTGTTTATGTGTTTGTTTTCACAGCAACATAGTCTCCACTGTCACTGTGACTGTGGGACTGTCCTCTCCAAGTTGTGGTAATGTCAGATTCCATTCACTGCATTCCAGTCACTGCATCTGCTCCTGTTGGACAACTTGTGAGGCAAAAAGCAAAAAGCACTGGCTCCCTCCTTAGAAAGACTGTTTACATTTTTGCATGGGAAATAATAACAGAACATATTCTACATTTTGTGCTTTAGTTTTTAATCAATGTGATTTCAGTCAAGCAAACTGTATTTCTCTAGTGAAATCTTGTGAAAACAGATTCATTCCACTAGTGCAGCTCACACCCTGCTCTCTGCATTTACTAGTGTTGTTTTTTGGTGGGCACTTCATCCCTGATATGTCTCTTTTTAATGAAAATATGCATCCATTTATTGATATTCATATATATGCGAAGAGTAAGTCCAAAGAAGACTACAGTAGTCTCAAGAGAATATTGTTAGGTTTTTCTTCTATTATAGCCATTATTTCTGGGAATAGTTTTAACATTCTCATGTTTATTGGGGTGGCAGGTGTGGTAAATAAATTGTTGTGTTTGTCAATATAAGCTTTAAGAAATAACTTGGTGCTGAATCATTTGCAAGGGAATGAATATATATTCTAGAGTTTGTTAATCAATGAAATATTATTCTCCAATGATCTGATTCAACAATATCATGGAATAATGTAAAAATGAGCCATGTTCTCAAGGATGGGCATATAATTTGCTCCTCTATGTAGGGTTATGTGTCCCACAGAATCAGTGACAGGTGCGGCCATCTGATGCTTGCTTCACTGATATCTCATGAGGAGAAACAGAGCTCATCAGTTGCTCTGTTAGTCAGGGTTCTCTAGAGGTACAGAATCAACAGGAAGTATAATTATAAAAAGGAGTCTTATTAGGCTGGCTTACCCAACCAGAAGCTGGATAGTCCACCATGGACATCTGCAGGCTGCAGAGCTGGAAGAACCAGTAGCTGTACAGTCCAAGAGGCTGAAGCCCCAGAACAAGAGGAATTAACAGTGCTACCCTAATCTGACACTGATGGCTTCTGGAAATTCCCTGAACACTCACTGGCAGAGTCTACTTTGGAAGAAGAGTGAAGAAGCAAGAGTCTGACATCCTCAAACCATTTCATCAGCAATCAAGAACCAGTTCAAGAAGAGTTAAGCTTGAATTTGCTGTTGCTTCCTTGTTCTTCCAACTTTTATTCCATCCAAGCCATCATCCTGTTGGATGGTGCTGCCCACGTTGGGGAGGGTCTCCACTCCAGTTGCCTATTCCACATGCCAATCATTTCTAGACACATCCTCTTTAACACAGACTCTTAATCATTGGCATCTCTTAACCTAATCAAGTTGATGATTCAAATTAACCATTGCAGTTGCCATCAGAAGCTTGAGAGCCAATACAGGGCTTGAGCATGTCTCTCCTCTTTCTGTCTTCCCATGTGCATTTTCTTCTAGATCTCATGTCATGAAGCATTTCCCATAATAGAACATGTTCATAATCTCCACAAAGATCCCAAGATAAAGAAGACATGAAGCAACACTTTTGCTGACCCACCATGGAATCCATACAAGTAAAAGTCGCTATGTGCTGATACAAGTCATTGAAACTTTGGAGTTATTGCTGGGGGAAAAAAAAAAAATCTTAGTTGAAGCTGATGCATATGGTCATTAAAATAATATAAGAAAACAAACTCTAAATACATACTTGGGCTTCTGTGCCAGAAGAAGGAGGTTAGAAAATATATTGGAGATTGGAATGATACAGACCTATTTTATGGAGTGGTGAAACTTCTGGTACATTAATTTCCTTTGATATCTTGAAAGACAGATGATGAATGGGATTATCTGGTGGCTTTTAGGTGTAAAGATGTGAAATAATATTTCTTGTTTGCTATTGGTGCATTTTATAAGCGCCTATAATAAAGAAGAACTATAATATAATTGTCAAATTTTTAAACAGATATGTAAGATTATATAATAATTTAAGGCATCCTATGGTTTATACTGCTGTAAAACACATCTGACTTTTATTTCCAAATGAGAAAATATAAAACTAAGAGTTTCTTCAATAATAAAGGTCAATTAGAGTTGAATTTTGTGGCAAAGACCAAATCAATGGTGTGTCTATCAAATGACATTAAAGCCCCAACTCTATTAAAGTAGCTCCTAATAAATCCTTTAAACTGAGTAAATTGATGCAGTGAGGAAAGATTGAGGCTGTACCTCTACCAGAACATCTCATAACTCAGGTAACTAAAAGTAGCTTGGCGACAGAGTTATGTCTCCAAAGGAATTTAAGATGTGATTATTGACATGCAGAAATTACTGGAATGAAATAGAAGAAGACTCTGTTTCATTTATACTGACAAATGAGCTTTCAGCCTGAGCTGAAAGAAATTAATTTTTCAAGACTTGAAATAATTTTTTGTTCCTCCAAACTTCCACAAGAATGTTGCTGGCTGACTGTTATTTCAACACCGAGGGAGCAAATAGTCCTTATTAACATATTAGACATAGCTATAATATGATGTTGATGATGATGATGTTGTTGTTTGTGGTCTTGGTTTTGGCCTCAGCATTTTAAAAGGTAACAATAATAATAAATAAATAAATAAAATAAAAGAGTTGCCTACATACTAGGCAACTATTTTCAGGAAGCATAAGTCAGGCAAAATATAGAAATATTCCAAGGGACACTGTAAGTGCCCCATAACATCTACCAAGTTAGAATTCATTAATGTTTTCTATTTCGCTTTTATATATGGAAAAATTTATTTGACTTTCATTGTCCTACTTTTCCTACAGTATATTGAGTATGTAGGTGTGGGTGTAAATTACTTTCCTTTTTAATGCATAGATCTCTGGAGCAACAGAGGACACATTTGAGATCTGATACAGAAATTACCATGAGATCTTGAATGTTGAGACCACTGCTGAATTGGGAATGTCATTTGTATAATCTCTTTTAGGGTAGCAGAGGAAAATTTTTGAGTGAAGAATAGAAGAAAACATCTTATGACCAAGAGAGTGGGCTGTATGGATACTATATATAAATGGGTATTTGTGAGTGCATTTGTGTGTGGGGGGTGTCAATATTGCTGCCCTTTCCTGAGGGAAGCTTATGTTCCCAAGCATAAATGGCAGGCTTGATCCTGGTACTTGTTTGGCTAAAGAAATATGTGTTACTTTCCAGAAGGGAAACCATGGTTCCATATGTAGAAGGATAGGGGTTTATTTTATATTTAAAGCCTAAAAAATGGATGCATCAAGATGTATGTTCAACACACAATATATTTCATACTTTTATACTTCTACTCCAGTTAATTTATCACTAGAGAGGATTAACCCAAACCACCAGCAGCTCAAAAGGAATCATTTTACTTCAGTTGTGAAGTCCTCTACTATTTTCTAATTAAATATCATCACTGAATTTGATGGTTGGGAATAAAAATATTCACCGTGAAAATAAGATTTTTGCCTTAGATAGCATTCAACATTTCCATAGTTTCACGTATTGTAGAGAAGCAAAGAAAAATCATGTCTGTGTTATTGCTGAGCTTTTCAATTTCATAGTAGCAAATTCTTCAAATTGCAATTAGCGTTTAATTAGAATTGCCAAAATCAAAGTTTCTGTTAACTCCCACAAGTCAACAGATTTTAAATAAATTAAAATGAGATATTAATCCTCTGTACTGTAGAGAGAATAGATATTCTTGGGCCCAAAGGAGCAAATCCAGAATCTGATTAAACAAATGATCAAATTAAAAAATTCCTTTTTGGGTGAGTTGTTTTTCATTAGCAAATATAGCATTAAAAATTCCAATTTTATATATATTTTAAAAAGTGAATATCAGTTCTCACCATTTCATCAAAGTTTTTCTGTGTTTATGAGTTACATTTTAAAATGGAAAAATTTAATCATCATATATCCACATTAAAATATCAAAATAATACTTCAGTATATGTGGTGAGTAAAGCAGTGAAATAAAAATACAACAGTACAATAAGCAATGTTGTTAGAGACAGAAATAGGCATATGCTGAACTCATAAGTTTCTGTTTCTTGCATCAAAGAAGGAATGTACATAATATAAATTAAAAAGACTCATGAATATTCAACCTTTAGAACTGGTGTCAGAAAGGCTAAAGGGTGGAATGAAATATTTGCCAAACATTTTGTAAATCATTATCACATCACACAAAAAAAGGAAAATAAAGGGGAAAAAGTCAATTGGACTATCACCACACAGTACTAACATGGTACTTTAACATGTGGGCTCAAATGACCAGAATATTTTATACACCATTATAATCATTGTTGCAAATAATATTATATCTTGTTTTATTGATAATTATAACATTTTCCTGTTGCTTTTTAGTGTCCACAGATAGTGTTTCAAGGGATACAGTATTATCTC